CCCTCGGCGCTGCGCCGTTCCCGGAGTCCTGCCTCTCGAGGGCGCGGGCGAGCGCGAGGCAGAGAAGGCGAGGGGCACGGCGGGCGGGAGGGAGAGAGCGCGAGGGGGCTCTGCGGAGCTCCAGCCAGGGCCACCATGCGCCTGCATGTCACGGCTACTCAAAACCGAGCACGTCCGGAAAGCGGCATTTTCTACGTCTGGGAGGGTTTTGCATCCTCAGTTCCCACCGCTGGGGCTGGCGGCGACCAACTGTAAGAGAAACTCGCTAGGAGGCGAAACAGGGGGGCGATGACGGAGGGGTGGGAAGTAAAATGCAAGACTTGATCGTCTTTCTCTCGGTGTCTTTCAGCTCGGACCTGTAGCAGCCCGAGAGCCTGTCATTTCAGTAAGGGGATTCAGACGAATTGATCCAGTCCGCTGCTGAACGGGAACATCTCAGAGGCTCCAAGTGCTGGCTAGAACAATAGTAGTTTTTCTCAGCAAGGCAGAAATTAATATCTTATTTATTCGGGTTAGATACAGGCTTTGTCAGGATCTCGATGCAGCCAATGTTGAGCATCTTGCGTTGCTTTCTGCATGGCAATGGCATCTTGATGCTTGTATCTGAACTTTTTTTGTTTGTTTTCCTTTTTTTAACACTATCTGATTTTTTTTTTTCTCCCAAGTTTCCCTAGTAACAGTTTTGTTTGTTTCTGTTTTTTTGTTTTGTTTTGTTTTTTTGGAAAGGACATGTAAGAAGAAACTATGAAAAGGAAGAGCTACGAGATTCTTGACTTAGTAAGGGAGGGGAATGGATAATTTTCGATTCCACTCCCCTTTCTTTTTTATTTATTTCTCTGGTGATGGACTGTAGGCTGACGGAGTATTACTTAATGAATTATCGCCGAGATACATTCTTCAATCGGGAGGTCATTAGCCTCCCGAGTATGTCTCTACTTGTAAACGCAGTTGGTGGTTTGCAAAACAAGTGCTAAAATAGTGCAGTGATGTGGTGGGAGGAGATCATCTCAAGTAATTCATATAAGTGTCAAAGTCTGCAGAAGGGTGACTTGAGAGGCAGGTGGAGTTGAATAAAATAGTTTTTTTCATTTTCTCCTCCTGCTTTCACTGCATCCCCCCACCCCCACCTCCTTCTTCTTGTTTCTCCCCTGGGGCGATTGGATAGCCAAGAACACCATTTTTAAAGAGGATTATAAGGAAAACAAGAAAGTGCAGATGATCTTTTATTCACCCAAGTTGTTTGAAATATTAAAATTGGCCCTTTACTCCTTAATACATATTCATAGGGTCACCCCCTTGGAGGCTTTCTCT